TTAAAATTGTTCTGTGTGACACGAAAAAAAGGGGGAAATCGTGTTGGTGAACACGAATCAATAGATTAAATGTCGTGATTATAACACGAAATGCCGTGAGACTGGTTTGTATAAAATGGGTGATGTTAGCATAGCAACCGAAGCTAAACTGACTATCTTGACTTGTTGTTGCTATCCTATTGTGGCATAAGCTGTTTTCTAAAGGTACANNNGATTAATTTAACTTATTTTCTTCCAAAAGTTAATTATCCAAAGCCTCTGTACACCCCCTTCTATTTACATGTAATGGTTTGGTCCTGCCTCCAAACGCGGTGCAGCACCGGCACTTGTAGAGAGTGAAAACATGTGAGGAGGGATGTTAGTACTTAGCCTACACTTGTGTTGTACCATGTCTCAACGACTCAAAAAGTCAGGCTCTAAGAAAAGAAGAGAAAGGAGAGAAAGACAAGAGAGAGGGACTAAAGGGCGACAGTATGTCACCCAGTTTTTCACAAGAAAAGGTGTGGTCCATGAGTGGTGGAAATTATTCTGTTAGCTAATGTTTTGTTTTTACTAAGCTGACATTAAGTAGACTACTGTTAATATCTTTACAGAAAATTCAGAGGTTTTTCATTTCAATGCTCTTTTAGCTGACATTTAAAGGTAGGGTAGGTAATTCACTTCAGAAAGACTTTTTGTTATATTCCATGGAATGCTCTTAACATCCCGATAGCAATGAACACATTAAATGCTTTGACAATAAATACATACAAACATTTCATCTGTGGACGCCATGGCGCTGTAAAAAGCACGACCAATCATCTGAGCCAGCCCGGCTAAAATAACAGGATGGCCTACCTGCCTGTCAGCCTTCCAACTGTGCACAAACTTATCTCGTGCCCTCATTGGTCATGTGCGTGTTTGTTTGGGTTGGAGGAGGGACTCTGTAAGGAAGTCTGAAGGAAGGGGCATATTTTTTCAAAACAAAAAGCTAACATCTAATTTTAATTATACATTTCAAACACAGTATTTTCCCACATAGCCAATGATCTATACAATCAAAAAACTGCTTTTAGTGTATTTGGATAATGGACAGTTTGAAGCGTTGAGTGAGTCTGTATTAGGTAAACTAAATGTTAATCACTGACATTTTGGTTATAATGTTATTATATTAAAGCAGGGGTGGGGAACCTCCGGCCCCCGGGCCGTATACAGACCGCTAGACCATTTGGTACGGCCCTCGAGGTAATTTACAAACAAAGTGGCCTGTGCCTGGTGGTGGGGCCCAATGTGATATATTTTCATGGGGCCTAAAATCCCTGGCGGCGCCCCTGCGTCAGATGACCTGGCCTCCCCATCACCCGACCTCAACCCAATTGAGATGGTTTGGGATCAGTTGGACCTCAGAGTGAAGGGAAAGCAGACAACAAGTGCTCAGCACCTCTGGGAAGTCCTTCAAGACGGTTGGAAAACCATTCCAGTTGACGACCTCATGAAGCTGACCGAGAGAAGCCANATGATGGACGGTCGCTTCTCTTTACTCAGTTCAGTGGTTCTTGCCATAATATGGATTACAACAGTAGTCAAATAGGGCTTTCCACTGTGCACTAACTCTGCACAACACAACTGTGTTAATGGAAAACCATTCCAGGTGACGACCTCATGAAGCTGACTGAGAGAAGCCAAGAGTGTGCAAAGCTGTCATCAAGGCAAAAGGGAGCCACTTTGAAGAATCTAAAATATAAATTATATTCTGGATTTTTTTAACACTTTTTGTTTACTAGATAATTCCATATGTGTTCTTTTATAGTTTTGATGTCTTCAGTATTAATCTACAAAGTAGAACAACAATAAAATAAACAAAAACCATTGAATGAGATGGTGTGTCCAAACCTTTGACTGGTACTGTATGTGCAGATATTAAAATCTGAGTGTTTATGGTCAGGATGTATATCTGGTCTCAGCTGTGTGGCTGCCCTAGATCGGTACAGTGGATTTTTACACCTTTAGTGTCATGGAGTGAGTCAGACATTACTGTGAACGAATGTCCACTAACAAATAAGAGCATGTAAAGAAAGAATTACTCAAATAGAAGTCCCACGTGTGGTCGGCACAAACCGGGAGTGAAAATGTGGAGGTGTAGAAGTGGAACTACACATAAAGTAGGATTCCACAGCACTAAGATAAGATAAGACCATATATACTTTACTGATCCCAACTTTGGAAACATTTTTGTTACAGCAGCATGTAAACAAGGCATTGCACACAATGTGAAGATGAAAATGAGTACAAAACAGACATAAGTGCATCATAACCATCAGAGGTTCAGTTTGCAACAGAAACTCTGCATTAAGTCATTCATTTATTTGATCTACTTTGCTGTTTTATTGATATTAGTATAAGGCTAATTTGAACCAAACTCCTGCTCATGTGCTTTTAGACTCTTCTTACACTTTCATATTCTTATCATTTGCTCTTCCCTGCTTGAGTTACTTAAATGTCTAATGCAACACCAAAATATTAACTAGAGCAGAAATCACGACAACTGTGATTAAAGAGACATATTAAAAGATATTACCTCTAAATCAAACAACAACATTATTCAGAGATTAGCTCTGAGATGTGAAGAAAAGCTTTGACCCTGCAGACGAACTCTGTATTCAGGCAGCATTTACAAACATGTGCCCACATGGTTCCTATGGCAAGTCCTCTGAATGACACTATTAAGAGACGTGTCATTGTAAATGTAGATGTGTGTCACCTTCTCGATGTAGCATATTAAGAATCTGACTCAAAAGAATGTCAACCTCAGAGACATTTTACAAGACAGCCCCCCTGCGGCTGATTCTGCCACATTTGCTCAACTGGAATCATTTGATCTAACTGTGTTTCTGTGTCTGTCGACGCTGAGGGAAACACTTACTGATCTGGATTCAGGCTTCTTGGTCTTCCTCAGGGTGACATAAGAGGCAATGGTGGAGGACTCGGGGGGACTCATAGGAGATTTGGTTCTAGGAGGAATGATGCCCACCGGGCAGGAGGGCGCTGTAGGAGAGACTACACATCAGCAAACAAACACAGCAGTCAGGATGATTGCTCATGTTGTGGCATGTATGTACTCCATTTCACAAAAGATACAAAACATGAACAAAAAATCCACAAAAACAGGAGGCATTCAGGGACTGACTGCAGGTTATCAGGTTGTTTTTGTGATAAATGAATCAGTGTGATTGCTGATGAAAGTACAGAAGCATAGATCAAATGTTTTACCACTGTCTCCAACCAGTATAATATGAAGACAATCCAATAAATATAAAGATATGTATGCGTAAGCTTCAGTACCTTTGGAAGCTGTGTCCGAGCTCTCTGCCTTGTCCTTGTCCTCCCCGTTGGCCTCATCCAACTCCTCTTTCACCGTGGTGAGTTCAGGCTCGCTTTTATACAGCCGGTAGTCTGGATTTTGCTGTGAGGGAGAGTGTTCAAGGTCAGATCAAACACCATGTGGAAACAGGTGACACACATCAACATACACACAGACCTTGTGCAATCCTATGAAGACAGCAGGGGGGGGGTAACCCAGGTCGGGGGTCTGAATATGATAGTGAAGCGGTTGGGGGGCGACAGTGATGACTGGATGGAGCATGGACTGCTGGGTAAAAACGAGGAAATGAGTGACATGTATCCAAAATGGCGCTTGGTGAGGGATGAGTCTCTTGAATATGAAATCAGGGGAAAATAAAGAAAAATGTAGTGAGCCTACAGAAAGCTGTGCTGATGATGGTCGACACAGTCTGTGGACGGTGGGGGCACACAGGAGGGGGGGCATGAAGTATTTCAGCGGTTCTTACGCTGTGGACTCCGTTCCTGGAGCCAGCCTTGCGGTCCTCGGGGCGGTGCGTTTGGGGTTGCAGGCGACCGCCTGGGTGTGAGTGGTGGGGGGGCATGTTGGGGGGGCGCTCTGCTGAGTCGTAGTACTGGGGAAGGGGCGGGCGGGGGGGCACGCTGTCCGCCTCTTTGAGAGGACTGAGTGGCAGCAGCGTATCTGCCTGCAGACACACAGCCGCTCACTGAGCACAGAACCATACCACTGCACACACAGGGGCCCAAACACAGGGGCCCAAACACAGGGACCCAGACACACAGGGACCCAAACACAGGGACCAAGTCACACAGGGACCAAGACAGACAGGGACCCAAACACAGGGACCCAAACACAGGGACCAAAAGACACAGGGACCCAGACACGCAGGGACCCAAACGCAGGGACCCAAACGCAGGGACCCAAACGCAGGGACCCAAACACAGGGACCCAGACACACAGGGACCCAGACACACAGGGACCCAGACACAGGGACCCAAACACAGGGACCCAAACACACAGCTGAAGGATGCTAAAGCGCTGTGGAGTTGGGATCATTCTCTGTGTCTGTAATGTCTGCCTGCATCAAATCCTAACAACAGATCAGTCAGAGAGCAGTCAAACTAACGCAAGACTTATCTCTGTTTTCGGCCTGAACACACCTTCAGACTTCAACACAGAACAGTGTAAAACAATCTCATAACATTTTTTTCTGTCGAACAAGAAACTCTGAAGTCTAAAGAGTGTTGGAAAAATGTGTTGCATTGCCAACTGCCTGTGGTATCATTTGAAGAAAAGGTCACTGAGACATTATCTACAGCAAGCAGGAATTGATTTACGTAATGGACTGATTCAGAAGGAAACCAGTGGCTGCCTGGTAAGAAGGAAATTAATCCAAACACAGTGTACATGTACTGTGCAATGACAATAAAGTCATATTATTAACTGGCTTAAAAACACATCGACATCAAAATACACATTTTGGTGATTTGGAGAATCACAGAAACATGTGGATGACAGCTTCCCAAACACATGTGAAGCTGTTGGGATCCAGCTGGGAGTGTGTGTGGTGTGGCTGTTAGTGTGTGTGGTGTGTGTTAGTGTTTGTGGTGTGGCTGTTAGTGTGTGTGGTGTGGACTGCTGTACCTCGTTCTTCTGGAGACTGGAGAGCGGTCTGGAAGCAGGCACACCTGCTGAATATGGAAACAAGGAGAGAGAAGGAATGGGACTTTTCCAGAATAAAAGACACCTGAGAAGGCGTTAGTTCTCATAATGTTAATCACATGAGATTAATGTGAAATGAATGTGAAGCCTCACTGTTGTCTGTGCTCCGCTGGGGTTTGTTTTTGGCCAGAGCCTCCATCACGTCCTGGATCCTCCACAGCTCCTTTTGGATCTGGATGTGTCTCTGGCTCGGGGGCTCTGTCTGAGAACCCACAAATATGCCGTTACAAGCTTGATCACCTCAGAAGGAGTGTGAAGTGTGTGGATGTGCGTCTGTGCTACCTGTGGGCTGCCCAGGGCCTCCAGCTGCTCCAGCAGGGTGGACTTCGCCAGAGTGACGTCGGCCCCCAACCTGTCATACTCCCCCCAGGAGCGCTCCAACTCCTGAACAGGACAGCAGCCAGGAGAGGGGTCAGTGGACTGTGTGTGTGTGTGTGTGTGTGTGTGTGTGTGTGTGTGTGTGTGTGTGTGTGTGTGTGTGTGTGTGTGTGTGTGTGTGTAATGTATGCATTGAACCTCGTAAGTATTAAATGCTAGAAACTGGGCCCCACTGAGTGAGTAAAAAACTAGCATGAAGACAAAAGTTTTGAATTATGTTTATTTGAAGTGATTTTTGTGATTCAAATTTTCTTCTTTTTACTTGCCTGATTTTTTGACAGAGGTGTAGTGTAGTTAGAAAGGGTGGACCCCACAATTGGGGGAAAAAGTTTGGGCCCCACATTTGGGAAACACAAGACTGTCTGTGTGTCCGACGTGTGTGTGTCTGGTGTGTGTCTCACCGTGGTCACTCTGCTCAGCTCTCTGCAGGTGCTCAGCAGGCCGCTCTGCAGCGTGTCTCTCTGTTGCAGCAGGCCGCTCTGCAGCGTGTCTCTCTGCAGCGTGTCTCTCTGCTGCAGCAGGCTCTGTGCGGCGCCGTTGTTTCCGCTATGTTCACTCAACTCCTGACTGGCAGACAGCAGGGCCGTCTCAAGAGTGTGCTGTACACATACACACATACACACACAAATACTTACTGCACATGCAGACCTACACAAAATCAGAAAAAGGAGTGGACAGAGGGAGAGCTGTACCTTCTCTCTGTGCAGCTGCTGCAGCTTATCCTCCTGCAGCCTCACAGCCTTGTCCTGCTCACACAGTCTGCTCAGCTTGGTCTGACACACAAATAAACACACATGCTCAACCTTGTTCAAACCACATCACCTGTATCACTGAAGAATGGGCTTGTCTTACGTCTATGTCAGGCTCCTCTGTGCGCTGGATGAAGGAGCCTTCTTTATGGTCGTCTGGACTGACCTGAAACACGGAGCCTCCATCAGATACTGACAGCAGGGGGCATCAGATCACTGCAGCCTCCAACATGCCTTTCTAAAGTGCTACTTCAAACATCATTTCTTATCCTAATTATTCCTAATGCACAGAGGATGCAAATGCTGCTTATTTTAGAGATAAATCATTCATATGCCTCTGCTGTTCTTTCCAGCTGCAGGGGATGAAGGGATGAGTGCTTAATGCATACCTACTAATCCTGTTTCATTTAGCTTGAAGCTGTTTACACAGGTGTTACCAGGGATAATGTGGCTGAATATAATAATGTGGAGAAAAGGAAAGGAGGACAGATGCACCCTAATAACCATACAAATAAGCCCAACATTAATATGTGTTAATGAAATGCAAGAGTGTAATTCTCCGCTGTGTGCCAAATCATAGTTCTGTCTCTGCTTTGGTCGTTTCAGTCTAATTTTCTAAATGTTTTCTGTAAACAGTATTATGACATTATAAAAATAAATATATATTGCCAAGAACATTAAGCTTCCAGAGCAGGTTCTCGGACACGGACATTAAGAAAGGAGCTACTGATCAACAGTCTGTCATTTCAATGCACTGCTTCTTAAAACGTGTGTTTTTAGAGTAACAGTGTCTTTCGATGTGATCCACACCGGGCAATGCAGTCATTCTGCCATGTCCTCCTCCAGTAAGGACACAGGGAGATGGATGAGGGCAGGCAGGGTCAGAGTGTTACCGGTCTGGAGCAAAGTGATAACATTTCCTGACAAATCCTTCAGTAAATTTTACAGAGCAAATTATTCTGTTTTGTTCCAGGAAATACAGCCGAGAGACCCTGGTGCACCCCCACATAGAGAGTCTGGAGGCTGTTTAAAGATGGGACCTTCAGAAAGCATCGTCTGAGGAGTGGTCTACACACTGGACGTCATAATAAATGCGTTCAAACAATGTGTTTTTCACTTCACTGGGTACATTTTAAACTATTGTTTATTGTAATCAAGAGTTGCAAACTGATTGTAGATTAGTTTGGACTAGATGATCCTGGTTCACTTACAGTGGAAGTTTCACCCTGACAAAGAATGAAACTGGAGCAATCTGGCGTAAAGCGCTGACTAACAACCAACTAACAAACACTGAATAACCTTCAGCCTGCAGTCCACCTCTGAGGGCCCAGGCTCCAGAGAGAGAGAGAGAGAGAGAGAGAGAGAGAGAGAGAGAGGTGTGTGACTGACGGGAGGAATTCCTTTGGATTCTCCCTATCTTATGGCTCCTGAGAGCAGGCAGGCAGGCAGCAGGGCATTATGGGACGCTTGGGTGTCAGTCACCAGATGGAGGGACTGAGCTGTGATGAAGCCATTTCCATCTTAAAAATCTAAAATAGTTGACACGAGATAACTACTCACATCTCACATTGTAATGATTGGCAAATTATGATTTGTTTGTACACATTGATGCAAAATGGCTGCTGGATAGATTATCAAAGAGGCTGTGTTAGCTACCTTCTATTTGTAGTATGAAATAGATTTGTATTATTTCCAGTTTAAAATTGTTATCGATGATTTTAACAGAACAAATACATCATTTACATTTGTCTCTGATCTTTGAAATCAAATTAACTGATTTGTTGGGTTTACTGTCGTGTGGAATTTCAAAAGTAAAGTGTGCCGTGTCCACATTCAGAATACCAGCATTTTCAGAGTAGAGGCATTATTGATATAGGCAGTGATAAGTTGATTGGAAGGTCTGAATTCTACTGAACTCGTAAGGCATACAATAAGTAAATCGAACGTTGTCCTTTTTTTTTTGGGTGGACCTTAACTTTGAGCCAAAGTGAGGATAGTGCAGTTATAGCTTGGGAGGCATAAATGATTGGCTAGAAAGATCCTGCTCAGCGCTCAGAGGAGAGGAAAGCATGGTGATGACACGCTCACAGCAGATTCTGCAGATCTATCACCGCGCTCTCTCAAATGTTGATTTGTAGACTGAGTAGAGCTTACAATCTGTTTGGAGCTCAATAAAATCTGTGTTATCTTTTAACTTTAATACTGTCCGGAGGGCTCCCTTACGGAGCGTCCACACGGTGGCGCGGGTTGAAGCTTGCCAGCGGGCGTGTCTGAAACTCGACCAACAACCAATCACATGAATCTCCCGCCCCGGACACACAAGCACGCGGTTTGATTGGCTAGAGCTTGTACTGGCATATGATTTGATTGGCTGACGCTTCCGCCGAAGCTTCAAAAGTTGAACATTGCTCAACTTTTGAAGCGAGCAACGTGAGCAAAGCGAAGCAACGCTCCCACAATGCAGTTCGGCGAAGCGTGACGTCACCCCATTCAAAGTGAATGGGCAGAAGCGTTGAAGCTTCAACGTACGCCGCCGTGTGGACACTGCGTAAGAGTCAGTACAATCGTTGGTCAGGAAGTTGTCCTAGCACATACCTCACAATCGATGTCATTTGTTATATTTCCGTTTTGTGGACAACCATATTATGATATCTTATTCTTTGTCAATTTACTGTATATATATATGTAAAATATATATTTAATGTCTTGCTGTTTGCTTTAGCTTTTAGTTTTTTATGCTAAGAGAAACTAAATATATGCAGAAACATGAGGGTTATTATTCCTCACAGGAAATCTTGAGAAGTGAATCTTTAAGACATAAACATTCAAACAATATAAGCGTCTCCATAGCGATGACAACAACAACACAGCGCTGTATGAGAGACAGTGAGGGGAGGAATCCATGACTGTGCAGCATTACAAAACATGCACGCTTTATGACACTCTAACAGCTTCAAATAAAAAGCAATGAAATGAGATCTTCTGAAACCAAAAACACCTTTATATACACTTTGAATAATGCTGAGAGAATGTGTGTGAAGGTTTGCTGATGTCTGACGGGTTTATGAACACGCTGTCTACATCTAAAGTGGTCAAACAGAAGGTGAAGATGAAGGGAACACATGGGTACACTGGGCTACCAGGGCAAAGGTCTGGCTTGAGTCCGCTCCATTTCAGGTCAAATCCAAAATGTCCTTTTTGAAAAACAGGGTCGTCCCTTTAGGGAAAACAAACTGCAAGCTTCTTGAGTTAATGTCTTCATCCAGTGGAGTTAAGTTGAGCAAAACCTCAAAACTTCAATGTTGTTGCATTCAGGTTTAACATAAAACGAAAAGATGATACCTAACTAACCTTAAAGTCAAGTATCATGATTGCCATGACGTTTTGACATAACAACACAGATACACAGTGCAGAGGAAAGGGAAAATGGGTTGTCTTGACTCAAGCCAGATCCTGCCTAGGACCTTACTTGCTGATAGAGTTGCGGCCTCGGTGCCGAGTTCTCGATCATAGTGTGAATCATGAAGATTAGAGGCTCATTCTCCTTCGTCTAGGGGAGCGCCGAGGAGAAAAAGGACAGAACGGTGTAAAAACACAGCAGCATGTGTTGCTTTGAGGATTCATGGCTTATGTCTAGGAGCTGGAAAAGGACTAAAGCCAGGATAAACAGCACTCTGTACGGGCAATGTACTGCGCTCTCCTCACTATGTTTTACTCACTGATCTGACATCTGATATACTGATATTGGATATGTTAAAGGACAGTTACTGTGTTTGTGCATAAACCAAGTTATTACAAATCCCCATAGTTTAGAGTTTAGTTTACAGTGATGATCATTTTCTGAAGCAAGTTACTGAGGATACAAATTAAACCTTTATAGAAAGAGGAACATCTCCTTACAGAGTCTCTGTACTTTGAGACAATAAACCCCCTCCCCAATTAGCATCCAAAGTCTGGTTTATCACATGACCTTTTGGAAGCGGAGCAGTCGTATCCAATCATGCAGCAGCTGTGGGTTGGCGAATTCTAACACACAGGCCGAAAATAAACACACATTTAAATAACTGCCATCATAATCTGGGTGCGTACTGTGAACAGGTCACATTATGTGTTTTTCCTGAATAAGCCTGCTGCATATCATTTAGTGACAGTTCAATGCCAGTGAGGGTTAGAGACAGTGAACAACAGTTCTATTTTGAATAACTAAGCTGTACACCACAACATACTGAACTGAATTCCTGCTGTTATCCTGATTTATAAAGCCATGTAAACACAGGATTTTACTGCCCTTGGGTAAATACAATTGGGTATTACTATTTTAACTATTTAGCTGATCTAACTTCAGCTAATCTGCTAAAATGTAACGCATAACATTAAACTGTGAATATTAACAATACACACCAAAAGGGTTCAGAGGGATTATATCAATTCTAAATATCCATTTGTTTGATTTAATCTTTGTTTGCTAAGAAAATGCTTGAAATAGATTGTTGTATGGAACAGTGACGGATTTAAAGATGAAATATGGGCCTGAAAAGTATCATTGTATTTCCCCTCAGTTAAAAGGGATGGGTTTCCTCTGTAACAACACCGCACAGTGATGCGTTTTCCATCAATATTCTTTCATTGCAATTTTGTGAACTATATATATTTTTTAGCTTATTTCAAAATTGCAGATTTACTCAAAAGTAACAATTACATTCTTTAATCATCATCAGCGAGGTGTGCGGCTGGTCAGAGTTTAATTTCAGAAATCCTAAAGCACCTCAGACCACCTCTGCTGCCGGAGATTGATCAGAATATTGATTTATATGATATGTTTCCATCACCGTTATATCTTCAGTACCGTTAGTTTGCAGTTTGGGAGATTAGTTTGGAATGGATTATTAGTATGGTGTTTGATAAACAACATGTTGCCAATGTTCCTCCCATCAGGATTTAGGTGCAGAAATAACACGTTCCCTGCTCTGAAGGTTAACACATTCATGGTCACAAACCTTTTTTACTTTTCATTGTCAAGTTATTGTCAAGACTATCTATCAGTACACAAATGTGACAATTCAGTCAAAATGAAAATAAATCACATATCTTTGATACATTAACATCATGAGCTGGCTGCAGGAGGAGTCAAGTCTCTATTGCCCTTTCACAACAAAGCGGTTCCAGGGCCGGTTCGGAGCTAGAGCCTGATAAGCACCGTTTTTTCCTGTTAACACCGCAGCGGAGCCGGCTCTTTTCCCCGAAAACCGGTTCTTACCAAGCTCGAAAAAAATTGTCGGTCTGGAAGCAAAAACCGTATACGTCAAGCTTACGTCGGAGGGGGGCGAGATTAACCTGAGCTAACAGTTAAAGGCGAGTACGGCAACCTAGTGACTAGAACGCAACCACACACTTATAAAAAAAAAAACACACTTTATAAAGTCAGGCAACACTAACCAGTAACCAGGCTTCGTGTGATTCTGTTTATTTGTGCCTTACTTTGACCATCCGTTCGCTGTTATTGATCATTGGAGAGCAGGCAGACGTTTTGTTTTGTATTATAGCAGCTATCGGATGGAATCAATACATGGGCTGCACAGGTTGTCATGTCCGACTATCACAAGTACAATAATGAAAGAAAACGCCGGTAAAATGTACCTTTAGAAAACAGCTTATGCCACAATAGGATAGCAACAACAAGTCAAGATAGTCAGTTTAGCTTCGGTTGCTATGNCATGCTGGTTAGGTGTGCCTTACTTACATTTAGAATAAATCACCAACAATTAGCAATCCAATTTGTTTCCAGTATTCATCCCCCTTCTCATTTTGTGGTCATTGTTGGTGATTTATTCTAAATGTAAGTAAGGCACACCTAACCAGCATGGCTACCACAGCATTCTGCAGCGCCATGCCATCCCATCTGGTTTGCTCTTACTGGGACCATCATTTGTTTTTCAACAACACAATGACCCCAACCACACCTCCAGGCTATGTAAGGGCTATTTGATAAGAAGGAACGTGATGGAGTGCTGCGTCAGATGACCTGGCCTCCACAATCACCGACCTCAACCCAATTGAGATGGTTTGGGATCAGTTGGACCTCAGAGTGAAGGAAAAGCAGACAACAAGTGCTCAGCACCTCTGGGAAGTCCTTCAAGACGGTTGGAAAACCATTCCAGGTGACGACCTCATGAAGCTGACTGAGAGAAGCCAAGAGTGTGCAAAGCTGTCATCAAGGCAAAAGGGGGCTACTTTGAAGAATATAAACAGGGTATATGCAGGAATCCTGAAGTCAAATTTAATAACTTTTTAAGACCTTTTTTAAGACCCTTTCCATACATTTTAAGACCTCATCGCAACTTTGAGTTCTAACCGGTTACATTGGCAACACACTTTACTATATTGATTGTAAGATAGCAAAACTAAACAGAGTGCAGACAGACTACTGAAGCCTCCTTTCCACATGAACTTCAACCTTTCTGTGAAGGTCAGGTTTAATGCAGTATGCTGCTNTGGCTTCCTTTTGTTCTTCAAATCATCATCACCTAACCCCTGTCTAGCCACCAATCTTCAATATGCTGTCATGTAGATTTAATTGTCTGTTCCCCTTCCCATCTTTTGCTCTCTTCCCTTAATGAGTCTTGTCATTTGTTTGATTGGGGTTCAGATTTATTATCTCAGTCAAAGTCAACTTTATTGTCAACCTTTTAGTTTCTGTGTAGAGACAGAGAGATCGAAATGCCGTTTCCCAAATACAAATATATATACAAATATGTATATCATATACACAATCACTAGACACTTGTATACATATGCACACATTATTACCTCATTTACACCAACGGTGTTTCAGGGCCGGTTCGGAGCTGGAGCTTGAAAAGCACCGGGTTTTCCTGTTCACACCGCAGCGGAGCAGCCTCTTAGCTCCGGAATCCGGTTCGTTTCAAGCACCAAAAAATTGTCCGACTAGAGCAAAAGCACCGCATACGTCACGCTTACGTCGAGGCAGGGGCAGGGGCGGGATCAACTCCTGAACAACAACAAAAAGCCGGCGTTTTATCCAGTTTGTACACAACGATGGAGAAACTTAACAAGCAGCAGTGGTCCACTGAAGAGACCAGGTACCTACTGGGAATCTGGTCTTCTGAAGAGGTACAGAGGAAGCTGGAGCACAATCGGCCATTGTTGTTGTTGTCGGTGTCAGCTGTGAGGGGTTTCCGCGCGGTTTGGCTTTATGAAGCAGGCACGCAAACGGTTACGTCATGACGCAAACAATGACGCAATGACGCAGCACCAGTCGGACTCTGGGCGGTGTGAAAAGAGCCGGAGCTAAACCGAAGAACCGGTTCTGAACCTAAAAAGCTCTAGCACGGAGCTTGAACCGGAGATGCGCTGGTGTGAATGAGGTATGTGTTGATATCAGCTGAGCTAAGCATGGGAGAATAATTGAGCCCCTTTTTGTTGCTTTCATTCACACTGACTGCAAACGTGGCATGAATAAAACATTTGAACAACATGCTAACTGAGTTTATATTGTTGTTGTTGATTTGTAAGTGGTGAATGTTCTTCTCTAAAACAGGATTAGCAGCTTCTGAAACTCCACTTTATAAGAGTGTTTTCTTCTTCGCACAACCATGACTTCATGACTACACCATTTCACAATCTGAATGTATAAATATTTTTGAAATGTGACCCCATTGATTCACTGTTTTCTAACTGTTTTCTAACAGGTTCTAAAGAAGCAGCACATCTTTCTCTGTCTGGAAGTGAAGGGGCCGTCTGTGAGGTCCACCAGGCAGGGGGGGGTCCTCCTCTCAGGCACCGCCCCTGTGGGCATGTGACAGTAGTATCAAAACAGTCCTGTTGTAAACATGAAGCCTTGGAGCATGCTCTGTGCAGGCAGGCTACATCTGGGCTTTGCGGCGTCAGGGTGGGGGGCGGCTCACGTGTCGCTGCTCACCAAGGTGAACGTCTGCGCTGTAGGGAGGAGGAGAGAGGGGGTGTACACAGTCAGTCAGAGAGTATTAGCAGTACGATGCTTTCCTCCGGATGTCTCCACCAATCAGAAGGAGTGTTTTGCGTGTCACGTGCGTTGGGTTGTGTTCACTGGTTTCCTTTGTGTTACATTGATGACTGGGACTTAAAGCATTTAGTTGTTCTTCAAAGCTTTTTATCTTTCTGTTTAAATGTGCATGTGAAGGTGAAGGTGCTTTTGGGTGGTCTCATCCATCTATCCAGTTTAGTAAGATTGTCTTTTTTTAGAAGTTGTCAAGGCAACCAGAATGAACTGTTCATTTCTCAATTGAAAAGAGTGTAGTGCTGCGACAGACAGTTAACAATAGTTTACGTGTACTGTAGATCAGAATGTGTGATCAGGAGCATCGGGCTCAGGGGTGTCATTGTGTGTGGATCCCAGATAATGTACTTGAGGATGGGGAGTGTGCAGTTATTTGGTTGGATTTCCACCCACCTGTTACTGCTATAAAGGGCTTTTTGGAACATATGTTTCTTTATTTGCCGGTAAGGAATGGGAGTTCTGATATTGATAATCTTAGGTATTGATATTTGTTTATGTCCAGCCAGAGGCCTGTGCTACGAATCCAGTTCAACAGACCCTGGATATGTTTGAGTTATCTGGCTTAACTAACCTAAAACAAACGCGCTCTCAATAAGTGGTCCTACAACGCTGGTTATCAACTTGGTAACTCAAGCCAGGGTTTCTCTGTCCGGCTGAGTGTGCATTCACATGAAAGGGGCGGGGTTAGCAACATTTGACCAATCACAAACATGGACAAGCGTACTGTCAGCACAGCGTCATACTTCCTGAATATGAAAAGTGAACTATAATATTAGACAAATATGAAGACATTAAACTTTAAACATCCATGGCTTAAACACTTTATCCAGGATAAAAGCAACATAGTTGCACCTGCAAGGTGAATACAGCTGGTAACAGAAAAAGTGTTTGAATGCGTACATTAACAGGTTTATGATATCACTGCCCCGTCTAAGACACGAGTGGATCTGACTTTAACTTTTACTTTTACTTTACGGCTCAGCTGACTCAGATAAGGAAATATATATATATATACATTATGATGTGATATGCCGCGGACTGTACTTAATGTTACTCTGATCCGGTTACTTATGTTGTGGCAGATATTTAAGTAAGCTTTCTTAATGCTAATGTTATAAT